GTCATTATTTTCCAAAACATGTTAAATAAATCTATCGATTCCACAGAACCCACCACATAATTCCTTTAAGACAGCAGAAATTCCCTTCGTGCTTGACTGCGATTGGGCTAGCCGTTAGCTTACCGTTAGCTTACCAATGAGTGTGTCTACAAACTGAGGTTTGCACATTTATGTGGTAAATTTTCACGCTGTTCTTTTTAAATTTATAAATTATTATTATAATTATTATTGTTTTGCAATATGCATCTCATTATCTGGATAATATTTCTTTATAGAATTTTCTTATAAAAAAATCAAAGGCGCTTGTGACACAAAAAAAGATTTTGAACAAACAATGGTGAAATATTTAAAAGAAAAGTGATTTAAAACACTTGGGGTGGGGGTCGGGGTGGGGGGTCTTACAGTCCTCGTTTCTATACACCTGTCTTGTCACCTCCATTATAAACATGTAAGTTAAGCAGAAGAAATATAATTCAGACACACGTCTCAATTTATAAGAAATATGAGGAAGTAAGTTTCCCATCATGTTTATGTATTTAGCAGACGCTTTTGTCCAAAGCGACTTACAAGTGATAATCGGCATGTTGCCCTTGAGGCTAACAACAACAATAACAACAACAACTTGACTTCAATTATGGAGAGGAGGGAACAAGGAGTGGGCAGTAGAGGGGGGGGGGGGGGTGCAGGGAGGGTGCGCTCTGAAGAGCAGGGTCTTCAGGAGTTTCTCGAAAGTCGAAAAGGAAGCTCCTGTTCTTCCAGAGTCATAAATATTTAAATGGCCTGTATTTGATATAGCGCCTTCTAGAGTCCTGGAACCCCCCAAGGTGCTTTACAACACAATCAGTCATTCACCCATTCACACTCGGGTGGGGATGAGCTACGATGTAGCCACAGCTGTCCCGGGGCGCACTGACAGAGGCGAGGCTGCTGGGAACTGGTGCCACCGGTCCCTCCGACTACCACCAGCAGGCAAGGCGGGTTAAGTGTCTTGCCCAAGGACACAACGACAGCAACAAACTGAGCGGGGCTCGAACCTGCAACCTTACGATTACACTCAACTCCTGTGCCACCGTCGCATTTAGGACTGCATTCTAAATGAAAACTGATGTACAAATAAAAGTCATCAGTAAATAAATATTTGTGTATTGTATGTACTGATTGTGAGTTCAGAACCTAGTGTGTGTTTCAGATAAAACGCCAGTTTCCATAAGATCTTAGTGACTCCTTTTTGCCCGTCTCACTGAACGTATTTCTTCCTTGACATGAAATGTGCCCTGGAAGAGCTTCACCTCCATCCTGCTTTCTACCGATCATCTATCCTTCCAGTCTGGCACATCCTGGACAATTCTCACCTTCTGTGAAGCAGGCTTCTGGATCCAATGACTCCTCTGGCTCCAGCTCCACTGACTCAGCACCATCTCCTGGGGGTCGGATATCTACTGTGCTCCCTTCTGAGGAGCTCAGAGGCTGAGGGTCTACGTCAAGCTTCTGCATGGACGAGGTACAAGATGGCAGGATGTAGTCATGGGAAAACATTTTGGGAATCCAAAGGTAACAGGAGCCAACCTTCTGAGCTGGTTATCAATCACATGGATACCTTATTGTTGAGAGTAGTAGCTCACAGAGTTGGGCTCTTAACTGTAACATCATCATCATCATCATCATCATCATCGTCACATGCAGCATCGATCAAATGTACCTACAGGCTTTTGTATTAGTTTTATCTGATGTGTTCAAATCTGATTAGGTGGCAAAGGAAGGTTGGTCTTATAGATATGCGCTGTGGGTACGTTTGATGTGACCTCAGCCCGAGGAAGAGTGCATGCAGTATTCCAGTGCATTATCAATCCAAGCCTGAAATAGTACCAAGCAGAACGTGGGTATTTTCATGTCCACTGAAAAAACAACCCCTAATCAAATTTTAACGTTACTATTCCCAATTCCTGTTGTCTTCATGGTAAAGTCTTTCTCCCCCCATCCTCAAACCTTAAAAACCCACCCCAGCAAGGCCGCAGGACGCTTTCCTCAGTGGCATGAAAACACGTTATTTTGATTCCTTGAAAGCAGTGTAAAAGCTTTTTTTTTTTTCTGTTTGTGTCGAGGTAGACGAATAACCACATTAGCTTACCAGCAAAAACCAGTACTGTGCACTGTTTAAAAGACAGCATGTGGTGTGGTGGTTTTCTGTCTCTATGCATCCCCAGAAGAGATTCAGGATGTAACAGCTTACTGAACGATTTATGTGCTTAGTTATAAAGAAAAACACCTCAGACTAAGTGGTGCTGCTGTTGTCTTCAAATACAGTCTTCATTTAAAAATAAACCCTGATGACACTTTTCTGAAACTTTTCTAACCCTAAGATGTCTAATTTTGCTCTAACATATATTACAGTATCATCTGCATAGAGTGAAATTTTTGGCCTCTTATGAGTTGCTCTTAGGACAAAGACGGTGTGATTTGGCCTCTTTTCTGATCTGTCTAAGGTGAGAAATATTTAGACATGTACTCCTAGACAGTGCAGCAGCCCTGATTGCCGTGGGACCCAGCTAATACGGCATGGGAATGATGGAAGCATGCTGCACACAAGTGCATTGCTTTTTTAGGAAGGGTTCTTCCCTCTGGGTTTGTTTTCCTCCATCTGCAAAAGACGGATCCCCTCTGATGCTTGAACTTAGCCTAACATGCTTTGCAACTATGCAAACTGGTGGGTTTTGTTTAAGTATGTGGTTTATTTAACCTTACTTTGAAAAAAGCTAAGAGTTGCAGTAGAACAAAAGTGGATAACACAGGAATCCAAACAGCCAATTTTAACTAATGTGTACTGTACACCCCCTACTTCTAGAGAGCACTGAAAAAGAATAATACCAAAAAACACATAAATAGTACAGGAGATGTATTTATATGCCAATAAATTCTATAGAATTTGTTCTGTTTTCTTTCCATTTTCCCTGTTTGTTTCACAAAATTGGTGAGATTTTTTTGTTATTTTTTAAAAAGACAAACAGGGATGCTGTTAGAATTTATTGGAATAAAAATTTGTTCATGTACTTTTTAAATTATCCTTGATTTTGGCTATTTCACTCCTCCATGCATCTTTGTTAAATATCTCTATCTATTTGAATTATTATCACATTGGAAGAGAAAATAACTTAAATAGTCCACTTTACTGATTTTGAGTAATTTATTTGGTGTTATCTCTTATGCAACCCTGCAAAAATGAACATTTCTTCTTCTTTTTATCAAAATGATCTCCTTTGAAAATATCTTTCATCATTCCGCTCTCATTCCAGTAACACATAAAAGAAAGTACTACTTTTTCATGTGCGTATGCATGGGCTATGAACCAGACAAATGAATTTTGTCTTAACCCCAGCAAAATTCATTCCTCCATTCCTTATTTTCCTCTACATTCTCCTCCGCCTCCTCTCTTCCTTCATTCTCAAGCTCTGAGTGTTGGATGCCAATCAAGTCCCAAAACCAAGTCAAAAACCAAGCAATGAAGTCAAAAGCAAAGATCATGTTAGATGAATGTCTATCAATGGAAAAACAGGTGTTCATTCCTAATGGCTTGTAACTGCAATACAGCTTTGAGGTTAATTATGAGAGGGGAAAGGGGATTGGGGGAAAATTAAAGGTTGACAGCATTTACTGTGCTTCTGAATGGGGCAGGAGGGTAAAGCAAAGAGGGTTAGGGTAGGGGGAGTGGCTGGGGGGACGGAGGGCAGACCAGGCAAAGAACAAAAATGGGCAATCAATTGAAGGTATGAGATAAAACATGTTGTCTGTAAATGGCATAGGCAGTCCTCATGGTTAGTGCAATAAAGTGATCTTACAATTCTCTTCTCACTGAAAACCTTGAGAGCGCCTGTGAAACAGCTGCAATAACAAACGAGGGGGGGTTAAACAAAGTAAAGCCAACATTCAACCTCAAGTCTGCCTTCACCGCTCATCCAAACATTCAAACACGTTAGCCTCAGTGAACGATTCAGATGTCATTGGAAAGTTTAGTGTTACTTTTTTAACAGGATTAGTGCTTTCCTCCAAATATGCTACATTGGAGCCATCGACATATATATTAACCAGACAAAAGTGTTTAACGAGTAAAGTTAGTAAAGGTACAATGTTTAGGACGCACCTAGCGCAGTACCAATACCAATTTCTAATTTTTGTCCAGATCTGTCCTAGCCTTACTAATTTTGAGCATGTCTGATTTAGATTGGAGGTGTGAATCACTCGTTTAATAAACACATTTGGAGATGTCTGTTATAGGAATGAATGTCTTGTCGAAACTAGAAGTTGCCCACTTCAGAGGCTCAATCCCAATCCTCGCATTTTCACACTTACGCCCTTCAATTGCGTGAGACAAGCCAGGTGTGCGAGTGCCCCGATTTTAAAGTGCTGAAGTTGACCACAGATCCGCACTTCACCCAAGTCTACATTGACGTGGACTTCACCGAATTTTTACACAAAACCTAAAATCATCCCCCCCCCCCCCCCCCCCCCCCCCCCCCGCCGGTCCAAAAAGATGTGGTTTCTTGGTATCAAAATTTGTCTTTAGAATTCACGGAAACCATATGTGAAATCCATGGCACACATCAAGCTGAATTAGATAATAGCGTTTTTAGACAAATTGACTTGCATTCATTTTTTTGTTCTTCCGGGGACCCGTGGGCGTGACGTAAGCCGGGCGTACACTGTGCGACTTTTTCACATTTTTGAGCCAATTTTCCACTCGTGTGAAAATCCACAAGATCGGGACGAGTTTTGCGCTGAGCGTCGTGTAGTGTACAGGGGGTTACGAGAGGCGATTAACACCACGTGACCAGCTACCGATCAGCAATCGTGAGCTCGTACGGACTTCTGGGGTGTTTGATATTTTGCTCGTTCCTCGTGAGGGTTGAAGCGGCGCAGCGAGCGGCTGCGACCCAAAAAGTACCAGAACCGCTCACGGCGCATGCGCAATCATGCATGAACACTGCTCGCCCGCTATTTCCCTGATAACACATGTTGTTCGTTTTTATTTTTACGCGTTATTTTTTTACACACAGTGACAAAGATTGTCAAGAAAGCGTGTTTGTCGTGTTCATGTCAAATTAAACTGATCACAAAACACAGATTTACTTTCTTCATTTCGTTTTCCTCATCCAACCCCCATAAATCCCTGTGTGTCCCCCTGCAGCGCTCCTGAAGGACAACAGGCAAAACAAGACAAAAAAGTCTGACGTGTTGAGTAAAAACTGCTATTTTTAGCATATTTTAGGTCCGACGTGTTGCTACCAGACGTACAGTGTGAGCAGTCGGGTCGCATACGAGAACTGGGTTGTACAGTGTGAGCGGATGACTCGTGAGATCTGCCCTGCGAGGAAGTCGTACAGTTTGAGCTGAAGCCGAGTGCTACGACCTACGAGTGAAAAAGTTGCACAGTGTCCGCCCAGCTTTAGGCTCACGAAAGGGATTGGGCCAGAGGTGAGCTGAACACAGCAGGATTTGGAGTCTTATTTCCTGATATTTGGATATCTCACCTCTGATTGGATAACTGCCATACGACTCTTAACACTGACTCTGTTTGCTCTGCAACGTTGATGTTTTATCTCCACAAATAACACAAGTCTTAAGGAGCTCTGCTGTGTGGTGGAGTTGCTAATGCTAACGGTTAGCTCCAACTAGCCAAGACTGCTTTTTCCTGGACACTAAAACAATAACAGCCTACATGCTTTCAAACTGCTTTTCAAACCTATAAAGTAAATTTGAACAAAAAGACTGAACTAGCAAAAGATGCGATTTTGATTTGATTCACGATTTTCCTCAAATCAAGTTTCACCACAATATTCACAACGTACATTCAAATTTAAAACCATGACAGACAACCGTACCTATGAATATCATTGGCTGTAGTGGCGCCACATAAACGACTCCCCCACCAACCCATCCCACCCCCTGGAAAAACAACCAAACGCACTACTACGTCAACTCAAAAGATCCCAAATTAGTGAGGAGCACTGCCAAAAAACAGAAAACCATACTTGGTTCACCCTAGAAAATACTTTGTCCTTCTGTATATATGTCGATGATCACATTTTATACACATCTTCTGTCTTCTAGTGAAGGATCTATGTTTTGCTGGTGGTAGGTGATCGTTTTATGATCACACATTTACATTTTCACCTATAAACAGTTCAGATAAAAACTAGAATGCTCTGACTATCATTTAGTCAGCTCTAAATTCTGGATAAGACATAAGAACAGGTAAATAATTTCTAGGCATGACACGCTTGCTCACAACGACTCAAACTGAAACATTTAGATCTATGAGAAATGACGTGTTGCGGTTTATATCTGGTGATTTTCATTACCCAACCCATGTTTGGGTAGGAAGGGACAACTGCCTAAAGGATGGTTTATGCTTGACGCGTCTGCGAGGTTCGCACGGCTCCACGCAGCAAAATTGTGTCATTTTAACTCATTCACTGCCAGCCGTTTCCTGATCGCTAACGGCCTTCGCTGCCAGCGTTTCTCACCGTTTTTACTGTTTTTTTAAGAGTCACAGAACATTGCGCGCTAGGATGATGTCGATGCCAAAACAACCAAAACAAAGCGGAGACTCACCTCTTACATCAGGAAGAATCCGTGTGTTTCGAGTGTTATCCGTTCTTTCATAATCCGTTGTTGAATTGTGATCGGCAGAAGCTTTTCCGGTTCACGCCTCACTTTTTTTTTTTACAGGAACGGCCCAAAACGATCTCCTAACACGTGGATGTTCTGCTTCCTGATCATGTGACGTGTGACATATGCGGATGAAGATCGGCTTCAGGGCTTAAATGTTTGTTCTAGCGGGGGCTAGTTCTGATGCTCAAACAGTAAAAAAAAAATGCAAATGACGACTTTAGTCGTCAATGGCAGTGAATGAGTTAACAATCACGCCCCTCCACCGCGCCTCCGCACGGCCCAAAATTTCCGCACCACGCACCTAGGAAATTTTCTAACCAAGCGGACGGTCGGACGCGGAAAAACATGGCGGACTGGCAAGAACTAGTACGGCAGAGGTTCGTAAATACAGACATTTGTATGATTCAGCTCTCAGAGATCACCGTGATCAACATGTTGTTAATAATTCTTGGAGAGAAATAGCTCGCACTGTCGGAAAAGACGAGGACGCTGTTAAAAATGCTGGAATGCCATGTTGTAAACAACAGTAATTTTTACTTCTACTATGGTGTAGTGTTGGATGCATGCCGTAGAGCTCCATGCTGCCCCCTAAAGTTTGGGAGAATATTGGCTCACCGCAGAGACAAGCCGCATGAACCATAAACGCTGCGAGTTGTGAGGCGCGTTCCATCCGCGAGCCGCGTCACCAAGCGGAAAGTAAATGCGTCAAGCATAAACCAAGCTTTACAAGTGAATCAAGGTTCAATCAGTGAAACAAGCTTTAACCGTGTATGGAGCCTGTGGTGTCATGGCTAGGAACATCCTCCTGGGGTCGTTCAGCACAACGGGGAACTGGCACCACACCCTCAGTGGCAGACTCACGTCACCAGAGCTCAGAAACAGCGCTCTGTCAGCAAACCGAACGTTTGCTCTGACAGAATGGACGAGGAATTACCAAAAGACTTTCTAAACATCCGTAATAGAATATTTCTATGCTGATGACCTTTTATCTAAATGCTTACACTCACACACACACACGCACGCACACACACACACACACACACACACACACACACACACACACACACACACACACACACACACACACACACACACACACACACACACACACACACACACACACACACACACACACACACACACTCCAAACATGAAACAGTAGATATTATATTAGAATCTCTTAAATTTGAATAAAAGACTGGCATCCCGGCCCGCACAGTCTAATACACACATCGACCTGTGACTAGGAGAAAAAGGACATTTTAGTCATTATTTATCACTCCTTGTTCTGCTGTAAAGAAAAGACTCACAGCCTGATACGAGTCAGCCATCTCCAGTCAAACCATGATGCATTCACACACTGATTAGGTGCTAAGTAAGCGATTCATTAATAAGCTGGGTGATTTGAGAGGATCTCTGCAGGTTGACGTACCTCTTTGCTACCCTCCAGATCAGACGAGTCGCTGCTGAAATCTTCTGTGTTTAGGTTCTCAAAGTCCGACTCGCCGACAGCAATGGGCACCGTCACCGTCAGGCTGGGGTTGTGAATAAACGACATGTAGTCACATTCCTCCATCGGGTACTTTCCCACCGTGTCCCCACCTACTGCAACCACCAGCCCTCCTCCGGGCCTCCCGTTGCCCTCCATGGTGTACACCCCACTGGCATCCTTGGTGATCTCCAGTAAGGTGTGGTTGGAAATGCAGTTGCCCTTCCCGTTACTGTGAAGCTCATCCAGAGGTTTGCTTTCCTCAGCCAGACCAGAGCCCTTGCCACGGCCAAAGCAGAGGCTCAAGAAGAATTGTTGCAATTTGGATTTGATGTAGGCAATGCCCCGCTGGATGCGACCAACGGCGATCTGGAGGTTGTTCATCTCACTGTCCTCGTCTGTCGCTGCTAGGTTGTCAGCGCTGAAGGAGCTCAAGAGGAGAGCCAGGAAGAGGTTCAGGACCTAAAAGAGTGGATGCGTAAGGCATGACATAGAACACCAGCCTAACGGAATAATAAGATCAAGATCATACCACAAGGTTTCCTATGACCATGACCATCATGAAGACGATTAAACACATGCTCTGCCCTGCCACCTCCATGCAGTCCCACATGGTCTCGATCCATTCCCCGCACAGCACCCGGAACACGATGAGGAAAGAGTGAAAGAAGTCGTGCATGTGCCAGCGTGGAAGCTCACAGTCATCAGAAATCTTGCACACGCACTCCTTGTAGCTCTTTCCAAACAGCTGCATGCCCACGACAGCGAAGATGAACACGATGATGGCCAGAACGAGGGTCAGGTTTCCCAAGGCGCCGACAGAGTTGCCGATGATCTTGATCAGCATGTTGAGCGTAGGCCACGATTTAGCCAGCTTAAAGACCCTCAGCTGTTTCAATCGGGGGGATAATAAGGATAGGTCAGGATTTGAACGGAGACGGTTGGAAAATATTTAAAGAAAAAGGAAAAAGAAAAGTTTTTGACAACCACAAAAGGCCTAGTATTTGACTGCCAGGCATCCATAACACAAAAGGTTCAAGCGTTAACATTCAGGCTAATCCAAAACTAATTTGGTCATTTTTAAAACAATCTTACCAATCGAAAGGACCTGAGAACAGACAAGCCTTCCACGTTGGCCAAGCCCAGCTCCATCAGACTGAGACTGACAATGATGCCGTCGAAGATGTTCCAACCCTGCTGGAAGTAGTAGTATGGGTCCAGGGCGATGACCTTTAGGCACATCTCTGCTGTGAAGATTCCTGTAAACACCTAATAGGGAGGAAGAGAAAGACTGTACCCAAATCCACACGACGAGAAGCGGCTGAATCGATTTTCTGGTGTGTTTAACGTGCCAGATTCCCGACTGAGAGGACGTTATCGAACTCCTTGGTCATGGGGTAGTGCTCCATGGCCATGAAAAGGGTGTTGAGGACGATGCAAATTGTGATGGTCAGGTCCACAAACGGGTCCATCACCACCATGCTGACGATCTCTTTGATTTTCAGCCAAGCGGGACAACAATCCCAGATCAGACAGGTGTTGGCGAACCTGTACCAGCAGGGGGGGCACTTCTGTCTGGATTCTTCAAGTTCTGAAAAAGTCCAAATGTGTTTGAGATTTCATTTGATTAGCAGAAGTGAAGGTCATCTCTTTTGTTACATCGAGATGTAACGATGAACCAAAACCCAGACCTTCCATGGTGTTGGTGAGGATACTGGCAACACTCATAGCTCTCGGTCGACCTCCTGGCTCTTCTATATAGTCCGTGGACGGCTGTAGGAACCCAGACCTGCGCTTCTTCATATCAGAATCGGTTGTTGTTCCCTAAATTCGACAAGAAACTCACATTATTTCTTCAAAAATTAAGATACTTTCTAAAAAGGCTAAGAAGGTGAAGACGTTGATGATTGAGAGCCATGTCTGAAATAAGATGATTGAAAATAAAGTTTTTGGTTTGAACAAAATCAGAAATAAAGAATTGGAGGAACCAAAGGAAGTCTATGGGGAAATGAACCATGAAACACGTGAGTCACCTCCGGCAGCAGGAGACCTACAGGGGAGGTTGTTACAGAAGTCCCACCAACCAGCGACACCACTCCGTTGCAGTCCACAGAGCAGTGCATCTTCCCGTTGGCCGGCAGCACGATCCGCGGCACCCCGAGGCTGGTCTGGCTGACGGTGCTGCAGCGGCGCTCCAGCCGCCGCGGCACAAACAGGGAGCCTCGGCGGCTGTCGTTCTCCTCGAAGGTGCTGTGCTCGTCGTCGGCGAAGTCGTTCTCTGAGCCCATGTCCCGCGCTCGGCCACGGAAGCTGAAGAGGCTGGCTCGGCTGTTCCTCCGAGGAGAAAACAGGGTGTCGCGGACGCTGAGGAGCGACTGAGGGATAAAAGGGTGGAACCGTCAGAGAGGAGAGGTAGAGGTCAAACACCATCATCTCATCATTAGCGTTGTGATGCATAACCTTTTTAAAAAGGAGCATGAAGCTAACCAGTTCAGCAACATTTGGCAGATTTTACTGAAACCTAATTAAGCTCAGGCTGTTCAGCTGAAGTGGAATATTTTGGCAAAAGACTAAACAAAAAGTGAACAACGATCCAAGAAAGACACAAAACCTTTGAGAATCCTTCACAAGCCCTTCAGAATCCCTGAGAACAAGTTTAAGGGTAAAAGGACCGTTTGGCGCTTTGGGAGTGAAGAGTGAGGATGTCTGTTGAAGCTGATGAAAGTGGCTGGTTGGTTTAAACTTTACCTGGTTGGGCGAGGAGCATCTTTTCTCATAAGAAAGTCTGTTGGCGTCGATGGAGAAGCGGAAGCTGGACCTCTTGATGCTGTCCTCAGACTCAGACTTGTGGAACTTGTCGTGAACGCCCCTCTCTTCCTCCTCCTCTCTCTGCTTCCTCTTCTTCCGCCTGTTGCGTCGCTCCTTGGCGCTTTTTGAGCTCAGCTTGGACGTCCCCGAGGACGACTCGGAGCTGGGGCCCCCTCTCCCACTGTACTCTCCGCTCTCTGTGGCTGCTGCCGCGGCAACCTGCCAGCCAATGAGAGCACAGAGACAGTTGTCATGGCGACCCTGGTGCCTGTCTCAGAGGCTCCCGCGGATTGGAGCGAAGCAGAAGCAGCAGCAGCAGCAACACGAGCAGCTAAATCAGCCTCAGACACCTACTAATAATGGATATCTGAACGTTTTCAGCAAAAAACCAAACATCTATGAATTCTTGCTTTTCTAAGGTCTGATCTAAGGACTGTACAGTAACCACACATGTTCCCATTTATATCATTTCAGCTTTAAAACCAAATCTGACTCTGATTACAATCTTTGGTCTTTCATACAGAAGAAACATGATTAAAATATCAGCCACATTTTAAATATTTCAGCACGCTCTTCACGTAGGTCTCTCCACGCCTTTCATCTTCCTTCACAGCGAGCAACGCCACAAATCCTGCACCGCATCATCTACACGTCTGTCAACAGAGTCTGAGCGTGCACACTCCTGATAAGATGGTGAAACCATGAAAGGAAGTAGCGGAGGTGAAGATGGAGGTCTGAAAGGAAACGAAGGAATGGCACCGCAGACGAGAAGAGCTCTTTGATGCGCCACCAGTAGCAGTGAGCCACGAATGACATGGTAATGAACATTGTTGCAAAATAGGAGACTGAAAAGAGATTAATCTCGAATGCTTTGTTTTTGTGCCATCTCAAACAGACTTTACATTTTTTGAAGTAACTTTAAAAAGTAACTGTTCCTGTCTGACCCAGTTCTCTGCAGCAAAGCGAATCGTTTATGTTGGCCTAGCTGACCTATAGAATTGCATATCCACAAGCGGGAGCTGTCAGTCAACAACAATGTGCCCCAGTGCCCAGGCACCACAGAGTCACACAGATGCCCCCGTCAGCTTAGCGCACCAACCTAGCTTAAATGCTAACTCCACCTGCATTGAATTAATTAATGTCTGTTGGTAAACATCAAGGTAACTCTGAAAGAGATGAGAGGGGCATGAGAAAGGGATTCATGATTAGCATGACCTTCAGCCTTAGCTACATAAGACTATTGTTTTAGCCTGTTGTAGCATTAGCATGGGTGTGCTACCATTGCGAGTCCTGCCAGTTTTAGAAGTTTCCCTCCTTGATCACAGCAGATTTGATTAAATGGAGTCACAAGCAACACCTGCAGAAGCCGATGGAGGTTGAGGAGACAAATCAGCAGTTAGAATCAGGTGCGTCTGAGCAGGAACATATTGAAAACATGACTTGTCTATTAGCGCTGCAAGGTTATTTGTATGCACAGGATGAGGCGTGGCTTGCAGACATTAGGAGAGATGCTAGCTAACTGAGAACTTCTGGATTAGCATGAAAACACATGAAGAAAAGCTGTGTGATGTAAAGATTTGTAAAACAATGTTTGCATGAACTGTAAAAACCTTTTTGATTAGTTGTTTTAGGAGAACATAAGCCCACTTAATAAATGGAAGTGCAGTGATTAGCTATTAGCTTGCCAATCCTCTCAGAAATAATCTGTTTCTCCAAACTGAGGCTGTTCAAAGGGCTATTCAAGACCTAAATTCACATTGATAAACATTTCCCTTCCCTACTTAATATAAACAACTGCTATTGTGCGTCTTTTACAGCTTCATGTAATCTAACAAAACATTCAAGAACTTTTAAAATTGTGGAAGTCATGAAATGCCATGAAGCATAAACTACACACCTAATCTAACAGACGTTTTTTTTATGTTTTACATAGATTTCACCAGATCTTTATATCCTTCGTTTTTTGTTCGAAAAGAGTTCAAGACTTTAGAACGCTGACTCTAAAAAGGTTCCCTGATCTGATTTCGAGTAGCTTCATTTTCTTTTATTTAACAGATTATGCTCATGTCAGAGGACCGTAAACCAATCTTCGGCATAATTGTGTCTGGTTCAGTTGCTTCTCAGTGAAATTAAATCTCTGCTGGTGAAACACAGATCCCTAAACCGGCAGCCAGATAAACGATGGTGTTCCACTAAGTCAGACTGCAAATCGTTTCTGTTTTTAGGTCGGGGCAGGGACTCCTGAGCACGGAGGAAGCTGCAGAGGGTGTCAGCCGTCCCCAACAAGAAATCCCTCCGTCTCCATGGGAACTGCTGGCTTACAGCCAAAGGACAAACACCAACCCGAGTAAAGTGCACGCCCAACAAATGCATCAAGTTCTGAATATTTTCCTTTGATGTGTTAAAAGTATATAAAAATGCTAATGAAATGAACCTTCAGAGAAACCGTCTGAGTCCTACACTGTAACCCCGAATAAGTTCACTGAACTCAAAATTTATGAGGAAACTGATTAACTAATCATTTTTAAGTTAACTTATCTAAAAACTATGTTTATCATAACCTAAAAAATATGACCTGAATAAAATGAAAGCATTTAACTACCTCCAACCTATAACTTGGCACTTAAAACTTACAAAGTTTAATTTCACTAAATTTGCATATTTTATTTTATTTGAACTTTATTACATGTTTTTACTAACTTCAATATTATTACTTATATGAACTGTAAATTGACTTATAAAACCCTAACCGAAATAAGTTGAATTTACTTAAAAATGACAATGTGGCAGGCTGGTGAAGGCAGTAACTAACACCAGTTCAAGACTCACACACCCATACATGCTAACAGCCAATGAAAGTGGGACACTCAAAGTCAAGTTAAGAGCATCTGGTGTGAAAAACCACGGTATTAATAACAATGGGACGGCAAAGCGGCACAGCATTACTTTGACCAACCTCCTCACCTATGGGGCTAACATGATACAAAAAGTAACACCACATTTGCAACATTGAATGAAATATTAACTGAGAACAACAATCCTCCACAGTAAACATGCACAAACACCACAAAATAGAGCTAAATAACTGAAAACATGACTACCCACAATGCATCGCGCCCAGCTGTTGTTTATTGTTCCTGAAATCCAACAAAATTGCTAGTTCATGGTTGTTTTTCCCATCAATCCACAAATCTTTTAAAAAATATACAAGTCTGTTTATCAGAAACACTTTAGGGTGGACGTAAAGATGAATGGAATAATATGGAAACATAAAATAATAAATCAATATTTTATTAGTTAATATTGCTCATTCAAGTTAAGTTGTTCTTCATGGATTATTTAAGTTATTCTTACTTAAAATACGATATAGTTCAGATTAATTAAAATGTTTGAGATCTATGTACTTTAAACAAGGACTAACTCAACACATTTAAGTTCTAAAAACATTTTTTATATTAAGTTTCATCTACTCAGTATATTTGATTATGTTGAATTTTGGGGTTTACAGTGTACCTGGGCCTCCTCCTGCTGTCTCTTCAGCTGCTCCAACATGGCCTGGAACTCCTCATCCTTCCTCTGAGCCTCCTCGATGGTGGCCTGGTTCTGCTCGTCATATGCCATGGCCACCACAGCCAGGATCAGGTTGATGAGGTAAAAGGAGCCCAGGAATATCACCAGCACGAAAAAGATCATGTAGGGCTTCCCTGCCACACGCAGCGTCTGGTGCAAAACACAAGAAAAGCAAACGTTTTACATCTTTGTCTTCTTTCTAGTAGAATGTAATGGTAATGGTGCACTAACCTGCTGGTAGAGATTTTCCCAATAGTCCTGTGTCATGAGTCGGAACAGAGACAGGAAGGCCCAGCTAAAAGTATCGAAGCTGGTGTAGTCGTAGTCTGGATTACGACCCGCTTTGATGCACCAAAATCCCTCTGGACAGAGCCTTTTACAGAGAAAGAAGTGTTAGAAAACGTTTAGTGGGGGATGTTCCGTTTACCTGCAAACAACTAAAGTTAATGCAGTTGTTTAGAAACTCGTTTGCGTTTCATTTGAGTGTTTTTAATGACATACATAACTTATTTTGAAGATGTTTCACTTTGAGAAACTTTTTGACAAACATAAAATGTTTCCAAACACAACACCCTGATGGACCTCAAAACTAACAACACCCTAAGACAAAAATGGGTTCTTCTGACCTAAACGGAGAGCTAAACATCTAAAGTACATGGAGGTCAAGACTACATCATCAGGAGAAGGAGAACGCTTTTGATGACAGGAATGTTTATATTCTGGATATCTTAACATTTTGTAAAGAACGTTGCTGGTTGGCAGTGGCGGCGCCAGGGGCGCGCTAGGGGGCGCTATAGCTACCCCTGGATTAGTCATAGCACCCCCAAGTAAATATTAGATTTTTTTTTACACTTTAATTTTAATTTAACTTGTGGATGTGATAATATTTAACATACAAAACAAAAATAATCAGTAAATTATCATATGGATAGTAAAAACTTAAACCAAAACAGGAAATTGATGTTAACCTTTGACCTCGTTTTCCACCTGGGTGTTTGTTGCCCAAATTTCCACGGGTTCAGTCAGAAACGAATGAATGTTTGGAAGTGATCTCAGACCCACAAAAACCTACGGATCTGGATGAAGAGAGTCAACCCTCAACCGCCGCAGCAGTCGAGGGTTTTGCCGCTGGAATTGCTAACGCTAACGTTAGCTAACCTTGCAACGCTATAGATGGTTTTCTGTGTGGCTGTATGTGTTTATGATTTCATGGAAAATCAGTGATTGTTCATATGTTTATGATGTATATTAATGATTGTTTCAGGTGTTGTTGGGGTGTTGTGCACGCATGTGTATCTGCTAGTGTTGAAGGTGTTTTAGAGAACAATAGGTAGGCATGACCACTTCCTTCATAGCACCCTCAATAAAAAGGCTAGCTCCTTCATAGCACCTGCAGAAAAATATTTCTGGAGCCGCCACTGCTGGTTGGCAGCTGGTAGTGACATCATTTACTTCTTGTTGTTCACCTAAAAGCTACAAAACATACAGGTTGGAAACATTTGCTTGCACATTGGCATAAAGTACATTTCTAGTTGAGGGCTGGAGGATTCCTCTAACAGTCGGTGGTACTCCTGCTCCTGGAGAGCTGGTATCCAGCATGTTTTTGCTTTAACTGATTCAACACCTGATTTCAATCAGTAGGTGACTAACGGGCTTCTGAAGAGCTGCTCCCTGGTCCAATTAGGCAATTATTTGTCCACTTGTGCAATACGCACTCAGCGCCTTATTCCCAATCCCAACACTCGCACTTCTACACTTGCGCCCTTCAACTGCGCAATCCCGACCAAGGGTGCATGTGCGTAGGGTGTCCCGATTCTCAAGTGCACAAGTTGATCAGACCCCTTTTGCACTCTTGATCTATACTTTGTCCAAGTCTGCATCGATGCGAACTTGGGTGAAGGGTATTACCCACAGTCTATTGCTGCGGGAAAAAGGCTCAAGTGTATTTTCTGAAAATATATATTTTCAAATTAAAGTACTTAATTTTAGCTGTGAATGTTTTAGACAAAACAGCAATGAATGTACATTTATTTCAAATAATTGCTTGGTTGTTTGTTTGAAAGGTGTCAATAAAGGTTTTGAAAAAAAGTAGCACAGCAACCATCATCACTGCATGCGTTGTTGATGAACCAATGCTTCCTGTCCGAATTTGGCAATTATTTGCACACTTGTGTACCATGCACTCAAAGTCTTACTGCACACTTCCTCCAAGTGCACTTCACTGAAGGCGGTAGGGTGCAGTGCGAGTATTGGGATTGGGCCCTTAATGAGCTACAGATGAACAGATGAATCAACCACTAGGTGTGTTGGAGTAGAGAAACAAAGAAAACATGCTGTTTACCGGCTCTCCAGACCAGGAGTGAGAGCCACTGCTCTAACAGAATACTGAGCCAGGATCTGTTGGTGGTGTCTTCCTGTTAAAGGGGAGGTTTCCTTTCCACCTTCCACTTTCTTAGGAAGGATGATTGTTGTAAAGTCACTGACTCAACAAGTCCGTTGGTGTGTTTACAAGTGCATTTAAGTCGATCTAGGTGGATTTAAAGTGATGAACTGGGAGCCTTTATCCTAGTTTACATGTACGTTAGAAAACCAAACCCTCAAATTAAGTTTGTTCCACTCCGGTACAGCAGGTGGCGACATGCACCCTTTCTTGTCTGTTTCTTCTGGTTAGCTTATAGGGAGCCTGAGTCTCCTCCCTTTTCGGTTGGCTCATGGGTTCCCGGAAGAACGAACAAATTAATGCAAGTCAACGGGGTTAAAAACGCAATTTTCTAATCTGCTTTGCCTTACGTCCTGGATCACACATATGTAATTGAATTTAAATGAAGAATAATTATGTGTGTTTCAACCACACCAGTCACGTACTTTGAGATTTATCCGCTTGTAAAAGTTCGTAATTAGCACGACTACAAATCAAACGTCGACATGTTGCATATGGGGCATCACCACATTATCTCCTCTCCCCTAGCTTAGCTGCTACTTACCAAATTGCCAGATTTATTGTGCTTTTTTTTCCTCCTGAAGGAAGGATTTCAAGTTTGCTGAACTCAGAGCCATTTTCCCTCTCTTTTTCTCCTTGTTTGGTTCGATGTCATCACTTTTGTGAAGTTCACACAAAACCTAAAATAATGTTTCCCCCCTCTCAATAATAAGCGCTTTCTTGGTATCGAAATGTGTCTTTAAAACCCCCGGACATCATATGTAAAATCCATGGCACATAAATAGCTGAATTAGAAAATAGCGTTTTTAGCCCCATTGCAATTTAGCATTCATTTTTTTGCTCTTCCGGTGACCCATGGTCCGGAAGTAGATGGGCGTGACTTAGGCTCCCTATAGCAACACAAATAGTAAACAAACACTGGCGGGTGCGAAGCAGATAAAACAGGATATGCAGAATTAGGGATGTCCCGTTCCAATACCGATATCGGAAGTAATTCGATAACTGGTACATTATGATGTCACAATGCTGTGGTGAGCCTGTGTGTGTGTGTGTATTTGTTAGCGGCTCCGCCCTCTCAGTCTGCCAGGCAACAGCATTTGTTGCATTTTTTAAACATGAAGTGAGAGTGGAGTTAGACTCTGGTAGGGGGTGACTTGCTCTTTAAATCCTTAATTATACTTCAGTATGGTGATGGGCGTGACACCAGCAACCACCAAGTCCTGAACTCTGTTTTCTTTTATAATATCTTGGGGTATCAGAATTCTAGCAGTTAAGTTCCAGCTGATAAAATCTTCCACTTAATTATTACATCTGTTGAAGGTTTTGTTGTTGTGCTGTGATTTTTGTGTTTCGTTGGACATTCTAGGCCACCGTACTAATATGCCAAGTGTTGCTGCTCATCAAAGGTTGGATTTGCTAGAATATTCAGGTGAGAATGCAGCTTCTAGCCAGTTGAAATGCAGCCGCAGCCAGCCAGCAGCTCAGATTCCTGAAACATGCCACAGCCTGGTGGAGAGGGCTGACACTAATTGTGCGTGTGTGTGTGTGTGTGTGTGTGTGTGTGTGTGTGTGTGTGTGTGTGTGTGTAGCTCTCTGGTGCACCTAATTGGCCATATAAATAAAACATGTCAGGCCTTACCCGGCGCCGCTGCCATTTCCACAAAGCAGAGCATCCCTGCGACCAGGGAGGAAATAATAATTTCCTAAAGAGAAAGAGGCAGTCAGTCAGAAGCATACATCCTGTGGGTTTGTTTTTACACTCCTAATCTTCCCGTTTGTGACATTAAAAGCTCTTCCCTGTCAAGAACTGAACAGCCTTTTACTTCCTGCGATGCCATTAGAAAGACTCGCTCTGTCTCCAGCTCTGCATCGGCTCGTCACGTAGCTGCCGCCGGTCTCCTCGGCTTCCCGCTGGCGATGTGACTCACGCCCTTCTCTAACACTTTAGGCGTCTCATGGCACACAGATGGGATATGACGAAAACTAAGTGAGGGGGCGGCATCGTTGTTGTGCCGATTATGTTCACCCAGTTCTCCCAGCAGCCATCTCTGTCACTCTGGATCATGGCAGTAAACCAGTGTGTATGACCTACACAACCCCTCCTCGATTAACCACCACCCCTACCCGGGTCTGACTCAGGCCGTCTGCAGCAGCAGCTCGCTCGACCCCGGTTAACCCTGCCCAGCAGACGTTTTCACACTCGGCTTACTCTCGTCGTTGATGTACTCCAACCAGTTGAAGGTGTCGTTGCTGGTGAAGTTGCTGCTGCTGCTGCTGTTGTTGACTTGGCGCACGCACTTCTGCCTCAGGTTGCCCATGAAGAGCTGCAGGCCGATCAGGGCGAAGACGCTGAGGCAGAACACGGTGAGGATCATCACGTCTGACAGCTTCTTCACCGACTGGATCAGGGCACCGACGATGGTCTTCAAGCCTGAACGGGGGAGCAGGGGAGAGGGAGGGGGATCAGCGACCGCTCACCGCTGGCTAGATCACAAGCTGATGTCATGAGGATCTGCAGTGAAGCTTCCTGTATGAACAGTTGGCCGTCATACAGGAACTAAGCTGACAACAATCACTGCTGAAGATCTGGAGTACGCTCGTAGCGCTCCGGTGTCTGGGATTGTTTTCAGAAACATCGCTACGGAAGCTCAAATGGACAAAAAAACAACAACAGATCGCTAAGATGTTGTTTTCTTTGGGTGAGCTCGGTTTTGTGTCCAGGCTGCTCCATCATGTGCAGGATCAGCGCATGCTGGTCGCTTCATTTGCTCAGACAAAACACAACGGACCGCAGAGGTGAAGCAGGTGGAAGACATGGTGGGAGCGAGGCCAACGTCCACCACGTCTACTTTAAAAAAAACTTTATTACTCAACTCACACGAGTTTCTCACCACGTTTTCGCTCGTTAACCTGCTTTGTCCAGTTTTCTTGCAAACAGGTAACAATATTTTACATAAAGTTGCAAGAGACCAGCTTAAACGAATCTAATTTACACAAAACTAATGATATCATAATTCTCCTAGATATTAAATGAGTACAGATTTTTCACCATTTCTGAAATGTCCACTGTGCTTTGTCACAAATGCTTCCCTACGACCAACACGTGATGTCACTGCTTGCACATGGATCTGAAATGCCACAAAACCAGAGGTAAGCGAGTTTAAAATCCAAGTAAATCTGACAGATTAACGTCCTACCAGCTGCGCGGACTAGGTAGTGCACACTGATGTAGAACACGCAAAGAATTAGTTCAGATTTTTGAACAAATCTGAATAATAAATCTGACAGCTGTTTTCTTAAATGACAGAAAACACATGGATAATGCTGCAGACGATTGATGCTAATTACATGACACAAACGACCCTTTTTCATTTCATTTTGATTAAACTAACTAGTTATTAGTAGAATGCATTTAAAGTCCTGTTTTAGTTTTGTTGGTAACAGCTGGTTAGCATTAAAATCTGTTCTGAACTGAGAAAACTCGACTACATCAGGTGTGTCCAAATTCTGGCCCGTGGGCCATTAGTGGGGGTTTGCGGCTCTATCTGAATGATTATGAATGCTGCAGACCCTTGCTTTGGCCTTAAAGGGACTTTACGGAGTTTTGAATTGTTATGCTCGTGATCGCCCCCTCAGGCCAAAAGCGTAACGGCAGCTTCAATAGTAGGCTCGTGCACGAGGCGCGCATGCTGTACGTGCACACTCCTTAACGAAAATAACAGCTGAGACAGTCCCGTGTGTGTGTGTGTGTGTGTGTGTGTGTGTGTGTGTGTGTGTGTGTGTGTGTAGCCCAGAGGATAGGAGAATGCACAGCTAATTAATTAAATAATGTGGTTCTGTACCTTTCTCTTCAGCACAGCCGACAAAGGTTTAAGATGGGTCAGTCCTCCTGCATGCTCAGATCATTCCCTTCCCTTGCTTGAAAAATTGTTCCAAAATGAAAGTTGAACCCACATCTTTTTTATCTGTGAATTCAATACCGTTCGGCGAGTCTCAAATAAAAATTTGGGCATCTTACTGTAAAAAAATATACCATTAATGTAAAAAAGAAACTCTAAATAACAAACTTTATTCACACCCGGAATCGAAACCAGGTGTCTTACATGAGAGTCAGACATCTTACTAGGTGAGCTAAAGCACCAGTGACGTTCAATGTATCTGTAACTTTTATATCCTTGATGACAGCTGAAACAACATCAAACCAAAGAACGGTTCGGAGTAAAAATGGCTATTTTGTTGCTAATTTGCAGGAAATATCTAGAAGAAAGTTCTACAGAAAGTAGCTAAGGGTCCTCAGAAATGTAGCTAGCTTTGTCACTAGGCGTTAGGAACAGCGACAAAGTGGCACTGCCTCTCTCTCTGCTGCTAAAGCTACGGATAGCAAATGCTACGGGCTATGCCTGAGCGTGAACGCGCATGAAGCAGCCTGCTCGACCCGAGCATCTCTCTTTTTCTGTGATTTTACAGAAAAACAGGCAATGACAGTAAAAATGCCAGGGCTCATTCTACAGGACCAGGACATTGCAGGAGAATGTATGAAGAAGACATTTATTATTTCTATACATGTTTTGGCTGTCAAACTTCCATAATGCCCCTTTAAAGTAGCCAATGGTGTCCTAATGAATTTGTTATAATTAATATAAAATTATTTTAATTTCATCTAGAGTGACGCATATCGTATATTTCTTGTCCAGAGAAAAATAATCTATCATGCTAAGCTAAATGTATGATGATGTAATTGCATCTACTGAAGGTCACATGGGTCATGCACTGTGGAGTTATTAGTTATCAGGGCAAACATGGCTGAAGTCTAACAGGATTGGCTCATATCAGCGATTATACTGTAATGACTCGGAGTCTCTGGTTGCTCTTTTATGAGTATTATTTTTGGGCCACTGTCGCCGTAACCCACGCCTTAGAAACTCTTATTTTTTTCAACAGAATCTCTCATAACGGAGTATTTACTAGCATAGCAAACCAGAGTGGAAAAAAACGGAACCAGAACAACATTTATCACCTGCTGACCTCGCCTTCAAAATAAAACATTTACCCTATAGTTTACTATTCAAACCCTTACAATATGTTTGAGGTAATTTAGCCACTCCGGCTATCCGTAGATGTTTCCCATTACACGGGAGGGAGGGGTTTGGCTCGTCTCTCCGGCTCCGCACAAACAGGATGGAAAACAGAACTCTGTTGGCATTGAACGTCCCCAAATAATTAAAAACCAGGACGTCTAATGCAAAGTTTAGAGCAGCACATTTACCCAGAGGCTCTCAGATTGAGCAGACTTGTGAAAATACACGCAATAACCGCTTATAGACGGAGCAACATGTCGCTAGCATAGCGGCTAATCGCTAGCATAGCAGTTTGACCAGTTATATTGATATAAAGATATAAAGTCATCTTGTGTCTTGTTTAGAAATTATATCGATGTTTAAAAAATATCTATATATCGCCCAGCCCTAAACTATAGTGGCGGTGAGACTTAAATAAACCAATATGTGATGTTTTCAAGTCTATTTGTACTTTTATTGTTTTATTGTATTTTTCGTCTAACAAGCCTAATGTTCTGTCCTTCGTGTGGGAACAACGTACGAGGTTTTGGTGTTGACATTTCAGAAACATCAGCTGGAGCTGTCTTTTGGTCTGTTGCCTTGGAAACGTTTTGATTTATGTTTAGAGGGACCTGACGGGACGGTAGATAGAGAAGAAGAATACGAGTGCTTTTTGAGATCGACATCATTTCTGGCTGTTCAGTAGCTGTTAGAACTGGAAGAACTTCAGTTCACAATATTTACGTATTCATGCTAACGATGTTCCCGCCCAAATGACAAACGCCCCAACAAGCTCTACCGGTACCACTGCCACCGTGGAAGCTAACTTTAGCTTTCATCCATCTTTACTTGGACTTTAAATCGGGTCAGGTTTTAGTCTGTATGTTGTGAAATCCGATAATCTTCACCAAAGGAGCCAATGAACAGTTTTGATGACTATGCTGTTAGTCTGTGATGTGAAGTCTGTTAGTGTTAAGGTAATTGTTGCCTACTCACCACTCATCGTGATTTGTTTTCCATAAAACACACAACACTGAACAGGACATGCACAGGAAAACAAGGTAAGGAGGAACCCTACACACACACACAACAGCTTGCCACAAGAAAATCGGCTTTTGCAATGTCTCATGCAAAAAAAGGAAAAGAAATAGTGCACAAAATCTACTTTAAGGCTCCCAAGGCAAGAGTAGATTTCAACCAAACATAAGTTCTGCCTTAAAGGATGCGTCTAAAAGCCAAGAATCCTGTCAATCTGTGCAGATTGGAGCCAGATTCCAGCTTTTACTGGCCTTGAGACGAAGGCAGCATGAGGGACGGCGGTAAGCGTCGTCAGGCTTAGCTAGTGAGATGAGCTGAGAGAGGGGGGAGGCATGGGGGAGTGTGTTTGGATGTCAGCGAAAACGCCAGTTAGCCGTTAGCATCTCATTGACTCTACGGGCCTTGATGGCCCTCTCACCTGGGATGACTGAAATTGTTTTCAGGGCTCGCAGAACCCTGAAGGTTCGGAGTGCTGAGACATTGCCCAGGTCCACAAACTCTGTGACATATCTGTAAGGGAACGGGGAGGGGGAGGGGTGGGCGTTTCAGGGTAAAGGAAAGGTGTGGAACACGCACGCACGTCATCAGGCACCCACACACGAGGCGTGACAAGACAACAAGGAGGGTTCGTGGGAAAGGGGGAGGGGGGGGGAGGAACGGCAAACGGTCACACACAGAGGACAAAAGGCAGGAGTGCTGGCAGCAGGCGCGGGCGCCCTTACCTGGGATTACTGAGATAGTTTTCAAAGCTCGCAAAACTCTGAATGTGCGCAGAGCTGAAACATTGCCTAGGTTTACAAACTCTGTTATATACCTGCAGGATTAAACCACAGTTACTGTAGAGCAATGAACAGGAGACTCCGTCCACGGCTCAGTCACAAGCATCCGTCCACCTCAGCATCACACAGGACGGGAGTCTCAAACACAGCAAGGCAAGAAATCATGTCATCGACTACACATGCACCGCTCAAGGCTGCTTCTTCTTCTCCTATTCCTAAAACAGAGAGCTGCGGTCGCCGAGGCGTGAAGCTGAGGTCCTCCGTGCTTCCAGGCCTCACATCCATTACGGAGTACATTAAGGATTCCAGGACATGCTCTCAAAGCAGACGCTACGCATTCACGTTCGGCAGAGCTTCGTGAGGCTGATTAAACTAAACTAAGTGATCCTAAACACGCGTCTGGTGATACTTACGCCATGAGTATGACGCTGAAATCCAGCCAGTTCCATGGATCCTGCAGGAAGGTGAACTTCCCCACACAGAACCCCCTGGCCAGGATCTTTATGAGGGACTCGAAGGTGTAAATCCCCGTGAATGTGTACCTGGGAGATGAAAACACACGCTGAGAGGAAGACTGAATCTGACCAAGCAGGTCCACCAACAGCAGAGCCAGGATTACTATGTTCTCTTCAAAGGTCTGCAGATCTATCCTGATCTGCTGGGTAGACCGAGCTGTGCACTTTTATAGATAAACAACTAGAGTTAAAGGGATTATTTTCAGCATTTTGAGGAATTTTCCAGTTTCTAGTTTAAAATTGATTGCAGAAATGTTCCTGAACAGCACTTGTTTGGAGAAGTAGAGCTCACATCTTGCATGGTTGATAAGCTAAAGGCTAGTCTGAATGCTGCCATCTTGAAATGAATCCAAAAGGTCATAAAAATTCAAGCAAACATCATTTTAACTGTCAGTTATTTAGATATTGCCATGGGGTTCTATGGTTACTTCATCACTTCCAAGGGCATTCAGGCGTCTGGTGGGAATTTCTCAATTTTAGTGCCAAAATAACTTTGCAACAATGCAAAACTGACTGTTTGCGACATAAAATCCATCTTAAGTTATGGAACTTGAGCTTTGTAATCTCTATTTTTCCCAAACGATAATTCAAAAGGCAGCAAAGATTTAAAATACACAGACAAACATACCCTAAACCCCATATAGCCCAAAATAATCCCATTAACCCTTTAACCAACAGCTCAGTTACTCAGCCGAGCACATGTAGTCCCTTTATCTGACACGAGTGGGAAAAAAATACTAATATTAGAGATGTTTGAAGAAAAAGGGAAAAATTATTACGTCATTACTATTAGTGATTTTATATTATTATCTCCATAGATTACACACTGCCTGCAAATAAAACATGTTGCCACCAAAAAAAAAACCCATCACACCCGCTAATATTCCACTGGACCGCCTTTAGCTTTGACTACGACACACATTTACTGTGGCGTTGTTTTGATAAGCTTCTGCAATGTCACCAGATTTATTTCCATCCAGTGTTGCATTCATGTTCCACCAAGATCTTGCATTGATGATGGTAGAGTAAGACCGCTGCACAAAGCCTTCTCCAGCAGATCTCTAAGATTCTCAATGGGGTTAAGATCTGGACTCTGTGGTGGCCAATCCATGTGTGAAAATGATGTCTCATGCTCCCTGAACCACTCTTTCACTATTTGAGCCCCATGGACAATGGCATTGCCATCTTGGAATATGCCCGTGCCATCAGAGAAGATGGAATAACCTGGTCATTCAGGAATTCATGTAGTCAGCTGACCTCCCTGAACCGTCTACAGGTGGTTCAGAACGCCTGTGCTCGGCTTCTGACCAAGTCCTCCAAACACACCCACATCACCCCGCTTCTCCTCCAGCTTCACTGGCTGCCAGTCAACTTCAGGGTTCATTTCAAGATCCTGGTTCTGGTCTATAGGGCCTTACATGGACAAGCACCATCTTACATTGGTGATCTTCTCAGTCCCTACACCCCCAGCAGGTCCCTGAGGTCCAGTGATCAAAGCCTACTGGTTGTGCAGCACCAGGCTAAAGGTCAAAGGTGACAGATCATTTGCTGCTGTGGCCCCCAGACTCTGGAACTCTCTCCCCCTGAGCCTGAGATCAGTGGACTCAGTGAACTCCTTTAAAAAGCAGCTGAAGACTCACTTGTTCAAGCTGGCTTTTGTATGACCTTCTTCACCACTCTCTCTTTATTCTGCTCTCCCCACCTATTCCACCTTCCTCAGGATCCACTGATTTCCCTCTTTCCTCTTCACTCGCTCTTTCTTAACGTTTTGTTTTTAAATCACAATCGTCTATTTTTGCTCATTTTAAATATATTTTCAACCATTTTCTAAATTCTTTTTTATACTTTTGCATTTATTGTTTTTGTGTAGCGCCTCGTGATTTCTATCTTGAGAGGCGCTATAGAAATGCTATTTTATTCTTCTTCTTCATTCTTGGAGCACATCCTGTTGCCGAACCTAGACCTGACCAACTGCAGCAACCCCAGATCATAGCACTGCCACCACAGTTTTGTAGAGTAGGAACTGGGCATGATGGTAGCATCACATCATCTGCCTCTCTTCTTACCCTGATGCACCATCACTTTGGAACAGGGTCCATCTGGACTCATCACACCAGTTTTTAATAATGCGTTGGACAGTTCTGAACCCAGTTTTAGTCGTTTCTGCATCTCCTTAGACGTTTTCTCTGCTTGATGCCGATGATCTGACCCTTCTGACACAGACTAACATCTTTTCCACAACCACCAGATGTCTTTCCACATAGTTGTTTAAGAAATCAGAAGCAACTCATTGCACCAGTTGGGATTAAAAAACGTGTTACATCAGATAGATAATTGCCTGTGCAGTAATTATCCAATAGGAGGATCCTATCTATTTGCTTAGTTAAATCAAGCTGGTGGCCTTTTTTTGGCCAGGCGGTGTATTTTGTTCAGCTGAGTTTACTTTAAAGGGCAAAATCAACATATCCAAGGCCGCCTCGAAATGTTGAGCGGAATCGTTCACCGATTTATTGTTAGAGGGAAAGGAAAATACACCCAGATCCACCAAAACAGACAAACATTAACCTTAGACGACATTTACTAATGTGGGTGTGTCTAGACAAGCTTTGCTTTATTTGTCAGTGATATCCATTTCATTTAAGCTCAAGTCTTTTTAAGTCTAATAATGAAGCATAACTCATGCAGAGAAGAAAAAATCTGGATACTTACTCTACATTCTTGGCCCAGTCCGGGGGGTTACTTAGAGTCATAAAAGCACAGTTGGTCAGGATGGTGAACATGATCAACATGCTGAACATCGTAGGAGCAAAGTTAAGGAACACAATAAAACAACATTTCTTTCACAAAAATCAGCCTGCAATTTAAAGATGGGCACTAAGAAAGTCAAAAAAGAAAAATGGCACAAAGCCGGCATAAGCAGGTGGCTTAATTTCCGTCTTTTTGTCTGATAAATTCTTTAATCCAGATCAAGCTGCCTCCACGACGAAGGCTGAAAGGATATGAGTGCACTAAAACTTTAATAGCTAATCTCCTTAGAGGGTTGAAGGGGTTTAGGATGTACAAGGCAGAAGTGGCATTGAAACGGAATATTGCCTTCCCGCGATTCAATACTATGAAGGTCTGGAAGACAAAAGAAGAGAACAAAAGGTCAAATCAGTGTCAAACCCTGCATTTCCATAGAAAACAAACCTAAAATCTGTGATAACTGCATCCACCTTCAGGCTAGTGGTGACACATTAGCTCAGCTGGCACCGATTAGACTTTAGCACCTCCTGTTAGCTTGGGCTCGGCTGAGCTACATGCCTGGAAGGCTAAATGCTAATAAAATGCTAATTTGATTCTGGGGTCAAGGAAGCTAAATGACCAGTTTTACATTAAGTACTGGAACGTAGTGATGACAACGAGAACTAAAACTATCCTCTTGTTTTAAATGTATCAATGATAGCTAATTGTTTTATGCTAGGCTAAGCTTAAGCTGTTAAACTGCAGTCGTACATCAGGCTAAATAAAAAACATCACCAGAGTGGTTTTACTGTTTCATTTATTATTTCACTTGTTAACGTGGGTTTAACGTCAGATAAAAATCAGTTTCTTTAGCGTATAAATAGATGAGATCACCAATAAAGCTGGTCTGAGATCAGGATCTTGTGGGAACAGGTTAGCAGTAATAAAACATAGCATAAGTTAGCGTTTGTTAGCATAAGCTAAAACAACAAAGCTAACAGACGTGGTTGGCCGAGCTCATAAAAGTGCATAAATCCTTATCAGTAATAATAAGAATTAGATTATATTTGAAGATGGTTGATGGTCAATGAGCCATAAAATGACCTTTTTACAAGGACACATCAAGGTGAACATAGTTCCAGCTTTCAGACTTCAGATTTAATCCAATCTAAACAAATCACAAAAATCACACTTGATACCTGCTATTTTATTCTGTTTTTTTAAATAATTAAATTTGCAATTGCTTTCTTTAAAAACAACAACTATTTTTACATTAATTTTTCAATCTCTTTAATTAATTATGATTAAAAAAGGAATGCCTGTTTTGTGTGAGGTGAAATAAAAAAAGCAGCGTAAACAAAAGCTCGGAGGTTTCAGGAGGTTAGATAAAGTCCCGAGTCCTCGTGCAGCCATTGTTGTCATCGTTAGGTGTTGGATTACAGAACTAACATGACAGGACGTCATACCTGTTTGCCCCTCGTGGACGGCTCATGAGGGAGTTTCCAAAATGCTTTGAAACCACAGATGAGAGGATTAACCTCTTTAGACTGATTTATGAACGCATACAGTGAGACTGGATCGGTGGAGCGGCTCTGTAAATATTTAGTATTAGGATTAAATCTAGATGCATCAGTTCACTTCAAAATCAGATCAGATCTGTCCAACACTGAGATGGGAGATCTGTTGTGCTCATCCACGTACGACTGCATTAAAAAGTGGACGTCTGTGACGTTCAAAAGTCACACACGAACTGAGAACTACGATGTGATGTTTCGTTATGTCTTCAGGTCGATACCAACATGAACGAAGAGGAAATCATGCTTCTGTTCCATAAAGACGTGAAACGTTTAGTTTGACTCAGACCTTCTGATTGCTGTAGTAGGGGTCGATGTCCTCCAGAGGGGTGGACACCAGGGGTGGGGGAATGTCCCCGTAGATGAAGGGCAGGGATTTCCCCGCCTCCAGGTCGCTGTTGGGCTTAGGCCCATTCTCATCGTCCTCGTCGCTGCGGCGCTCCGCCCGCGGTCTCCGGGCCTCCTCCTCGGCGATGCGCCTCTCGATGGCGGCCAGCGACTCGGGGACGAAGGGGCGGAAGCTGTCTGGTCCGGGCGGTACAAGCAGCTGTGCCATCTTGTCATCCTGCTCCTTCAGAGGGCAGCGAGGGGCTCAGCTGGTGAAGAAAGCTGCAGGGGGGGGAAATGACAAGTCAGGACCTGTAAATAACCAGCAGCCGTCACAGATCAACCCAACTACAGTACACACCATGCTGCATCAGGGCGTGCTTGTGGCCCCTTTAATGAGGACAGTGATCTCAGGCAGGTCTCTGAGTGTTACCAGCAGCAGCACCTAGCAGGAACATGGCCTGTTGTCTCCTCAACACAACATCATTAAGTATGAGTGTCAACAATGTCATCACAACAGCCTTTCTGTGAACACTAGTGAATTCTGCTGCTTCCTTTGGGCTAGGCTTGGGCGATAAGCACCAAAACTTAACATGTTTATATTTTTCAGCTGGATTAGATACTAGATATTAGATATTAGATACACGGATATTCCTCTTCCAGTAAAGTATTTACATCAAAAGCTGCTAAGAGTCAAAGCATAGGTATACGTTTATAATCTCAATCAATCTATGCACTCTATAATCTATGCAGCGTCATTTAAATCGATGCACCTGTGGTCCGTATCATTCATGATTACACTCAGGGTCCGAAATTAAATTTTTTACTCACCGGCCAAGTTGGCCGGTAGATGATGAAAATCTACCGGCCAAAATTCTAAATGATTTAGATCGACCTAAAGCATGTAATTCTATATTATGTTGATTCCAAACAGAGTGACAAAATAATTAAAACATCAATTAATAAGAAAAACAACTCTTTTGTCATTTTTACTATTTATTTATTTATTTTTAGAGATGTTTTTATGATCTCTTTCATTGAAATCTAGTCAGACTCCTTGTTTTCTCTGTCCATGAAGTCTGGCCTCCTGCTTCTGACACCGTCTTTGTGCCAAAGCATTACAGCCTCATTTGGGTCCTAGGCCTTGATCTCTGGAGAACACAGCTGCACCATGAGAATATCTGAAAGTGTGTCAGGGCTAGGGTTGTCACGGTAACCGGTGTAGCGGTAAACCCCGGTAAAGAAGTTGACAATAATAATAACCGTCTTGTTTTTTTTTTTTTTTTTTTTTTTATCTCGGTGGATTACCGTGGCTGCGGTGTAGGCGTGGTGACCCTTACCAGCCACCGTATCATCTGCTGAAGTTGCTGGCGGCACATGCGCACTTTGTTGTTTACAACCAAAACTTTCTTGAAGCTAAAGCTGAAATATGGCAGGAGGAGACGACAACACTCGGGACATTTATTATCCCTCAAAGTCGGAAGTACGGGCATGTTTTGGATATTTGAAGAATGCCGAGGGACAGTTTATAGAAGACGGCTATCCTGTTTGCAGCACGAGCAGAAAAAGTGTCTGTGAAAGGCAGCAACGCTACGTGGCCATCATAATGTAGCCATTGTCTCACGACTCCGCCATCTCCAGTTCGCCACTTTTCACAAAATCTTCTGGTTGCCACTGGTCCTGGTGGTTTTTCTTCCAGTTCGACGAGTTTTCTTTTGGAAGGCTGGCTGACTCCAGTTAAAAACCGCCACATTTCACCGCTAGTTTTAACACGAAGCTAACTGCTAGTTTGATAAACTGATTGAATGGGATAAGTGTAACTGACGTTGGATGTGGCGTTCACGTTTCGCGTACGTTTGTGTACGTTGCAAGCAGGCGGGAGGAGTATCAGAAATCCATGGAAGATGACTGATAAGCATAACTAATTTGGTGCAAACATTTACTCGCCAGGTGGCAGGTAGAGCTCAAAAATGTACTCGCCAAATGGAGCAATTTGCTCGCATTTGGCGAGTGGCGAGTGTTAATTTCGGACCCTGATTACACTGCTATTGCATCATACGTTAATTTGCTGAGGTAAAAGCATCCACTGGAGTTTGATCACACGGGTCATGCAAGACTTTCTTTTTAAAGTCAAGATATTGTCCAGTCCTTCTCTGCTGTAGGCATTGTCCAATGATGTCATCAGCCACTGGAACACCAGCGTCATCCTTTTAATTACAGTTTACAAATCTCACTCTGGTGGTTTTACGGATGGGAGCGTGCTTCCTTCTGGTAGGGAGTCTATGCATCCCGGACAGAAAAGTGTAACACAGTCTAGCGATTTCTCTCTGGATAAATGAATATTTGACGTAACTAGGGGGAAACGTTTTTTTAAACATTCACACAAAAAATTCTGAAAAATGTTTCTTAAACGTAAACAACGAAGCTTTAATGCCTGAACCTCAATGACCCCATTTTGTCTTTTTTAAACTTTTACTTTGAAAAGACCAGGAACTTCCTGAGCTTACCCAAAGTTCTATGATGTTTAAAGCTAACAAATTACAGCCCATAGAGAATGTTACACTCCATGTAAATAAACATTTTTTATAATTAATTCCTTAAAAAGACAGTGTGTAGTTTTTAACCGTTAATCTCTGGAAAAATCCATCAAAATGTTGTTGAAAATGAATGAAAAGAAGCCCAGTTGTTGACAAATATTGACGGCTTCGTAACATACACCCAAAAAATGATGGGCTCGACACACGGGAGGCGACAAACGACCGCGGTCAGCAAAATTTGTCGCTGTTGCTTTTATTACCTGACACACGGGAGGCGATCCGCGCCAGCGGCAAAGCCGTCTACGCGTTCTGTTCCATGGCGAAATCAAAACTTCCGTTGTTTTGTTTGGCTGTGTCAGGTTGGAGGGAATTAAGGTTAATTAGGCGGTTCAGGGTTAATAAAGCGGTAGATATGATGTTTCACAAGGTGCTGTTAGAGTTATGTGAAGTCTTACTTCTGATTTTACTATAAAACATAATAATAATCAACTTCTCTTCCATGTTTGCTCGGAGATGTACGGAGCATCCTGTCCGCTCATTGGTCAGTGAATGAAACCTCCGTTGATTGGTCCTCGTCCGAGCGACAGCGATGAAAAGTTGAAAATATTTTCTGGGATTGCGTCGCTGGGTCGCCTGTGCACGACACGTGCACGAGCGCAAAATTTCACACGCACGTTTTTCGCGTTTCGCTTGGTAGGAGGGAGACCCGCGATTATCGCTTTGTCGCGCATGTCTCATTGAAAATGAATGGAGGAGAGGCGATGTCGCCTCCCGTGTGTCGAGTCCATTAGGTCTAAAATTACATGGAAGCAGGTCTAAGGGTGTTTCTCAATGCCAAGGAACCTCGCTTTGATGTATTGGCCCCGCCCTGGTTGCCTAGGAGATACGTCATCAGGAACGCCCAAGAAGTTTTCTCATGTTCATTTTCTACCGAGGCGTTAGCTGCTTAGTAGTTGCAGCTTCGGTGGCTAGCGGGTAGTAACTCACATATTTAATTTAATAAATATACACAATTTAATAAGTAAAAGGCTCGTTATATATTTATATTGAAACTAATACGTATAAAATATAACGTTATCTCCCGTGTCACGTGACGTTACGTGACCACCGTGGAAGCCGCGGTCACGTGATGCAAGTCTGTTCCATTTAACCGTTTTCTTTGACCAAGGAAGGACAGCGTCCTCGTAAGCAAGGCACCTGGCCTCGCAGGACATTGCCTTGCAAGGCCAGGTGCCTTGACATTGAGAAACACCCAAAGTCTTAGGGCGACTCCATATTAGATGCCATGTTTCCTTCTACGGGAGCCCATGAGGAGAAAGTCCATTTACTGATTTGTAACAAACGGTTACAAAACTTTCACCATTCTTAAATGTTGTTTTACACATTTACCTCTTCACTCTTTGCCAGTGATGAAAGGAAGTCTGATGTGCTCGTTATTTTCCTAAAGTTTGCACTCCCCAAGGTTTTCTGACCCTAATGGGCATCCGTTGGTAAGGTCTTACTCCAACACAAAAATACAGCTTGCTTGCAACGATTTAGCTATCTACTGCCCCCCCATCACCAGGAAAAATACACACAGTCACTTTAACCCCCCCCCCCCCCCAAAAGTGTGTTTCCTAAAACTAAACAAGACGTTCTACATCCCTAAATCCATCAGAGACCAGCTTGATGCACCCTTGTGTTTTAACGTCCAGAGGCAGAATGGGGGAACTGACACTGATCCACCTTGATGGGTCTGAATAGACGCCTGAATTAGATTTAGTGTGTCGGGTTGGAGGCTGTGCATGTGATGTGGGGCTGGGCTGGGCTTCCCGGTCAGGGTTGAGTGAGTTATCAAATGGGCCGTCTAGTTTAGGTTGCCGGGTTTCTGATATATTCAAAAGCAGAGTGGGGGAAGGCGGCTAGCTAGGGTCTGAGAGGGGCAGGGTTAAATCTACACATTTATAGGCCGCATCTCTAATAATTCAAGGTATTTTTATAAATGATTTAATGTTTATCAAAACGCTTTTTACATACCTTGCCATACTTTTAAAACATATTGATTTTGTTGGTTCTACAGTCATTTCTCACAACCGATCTACAACTAAAAGCTTCTGCACACATCAGAATTTGGTGATTCATACATAAACTCAGGCTGGTATGAGGTTTCTAAAAAGGTTTATGAGGCTAGGAAAAGAGAGAAAACCATTGACAAGAGCATGTTCTGCATGCTAATGGCCGAGTGACTAATCCCTTTTCTGTTGCGCACAATGGTCTGACGTTTTCAGTTTTATAACTGGTGACTGATGGCTAGGGTTCACGTGGAAATCATGAGCAATCAGAAATTTGTCATTATTAAGCTATTTCAGAGTCCAGAAAAGCAGAAGAAGCATGTCTGCTAAAGATGAGGTTCTCTGAGTACTCAGAGGCAGGATGGAGGTTATTAAAGGTAAACAGCTGAAACAAGTGAGGGAAAAGATTATTTATGAGGATTATCAGACCAGTTCTCCTCATGAATTATATTTTTCAGCTTTTGATTTAATAGACAACGGGGCTTGTGTAGAGGTAGAGAAGGTCTGTTGTTGCTGCTATTCTGGTCCTGCTGGACCTGACTGCAGCCTTTGACACTGTTGACCATCACCTGCTACTGGAGAGGCTGAGAGACTGGGTAGGCCTATCAGGATCTGCTCTGGAGTGGCTCTCCTCTTATCTCTCTGAGCGCTCCTTTTCTGTGGCCGTCTCCAAGTTTAGGTCCTTGTTCTAAAA